CAATCAAAATTAGAAAGACGTCATATCTAGGACACATAATGCGCCATAAGGAATTTGAGCAGCTCCAGGTAATATTAGAAGGCAAAATCGAGGGTAAAAGGGGTATAGGAAGAAAGAAGAAATCCTGGCTCCGAAACATCACACAACAGGAAATGACTTAATCCATCAAGCCCAGAACAGAGAGAAATTTGTCATATTGATCGCCAACCTCAATAGAGAAGGCACTTAGGAGGAGGAGGATTAACGTGAAGAGCTGAATAAATGGAAGTATGATTTAACAAAATTGCCATATGTAGCCTACTTACAATCACATGACAAAAAATATCACAAGTTATTATAAATGTTTGTTCAGCTTTGTTAATCTAAAAGGTCAGCCATTGTTGAAACTGTTTTTAATAACAATTTTGATAAAATGTTTAAATTATTTTAATATATCTTAAATCTAAAGCTTCAAAAAATCGATTGCGACCTGCTAAATACCTCTAGGATCACTGTTTGGGAGTTGTTCAAATGATCGTTCTCCGGGATAAACAAATTAAATAACTTATAAACTATTTGGTCTATCTGTTTATACACTTTAACACTTTAATAACTCATTAACTGTAATTTATAAATTAGTGCAATAATTAGGGGTTTTTGTCATTAAATCGGTCCATTGTTCATGTCTTTTAATTTATAAACTCAGAACTAAAATAACTTTTTAAAATCTACTTGTACTTGATCCACAAGGAAAACAATTCCTGTAGCTGGCTGTATACCACGTATCACAAAAAAAGAGGTTAATCTTTGTAAGTGGGTATATTTATTTAAAAACCCTTAAAAGAGATACATCAAAAAAACAAACGTTTTCGGACTAAACAGTCCATCATCAGGTTTAAAATCTGCTAGATTAAAATGCCTGAGCCACCAAAATACATGGGTAAAAACCCTTTAAATTACTTATAGTTATCAAAGATTATACATCTTGTTGTTAAAAAACTGTGATGTTCATTATTAAATTAGATATGACTTCAGGTAACATACATTGTAAAAAGTTTTGAGTTTCAGAGCCGGGGAGAAAACCTCAACGCACGGAGAACAGCTGGAAACTCGGAAACTTTTACTTGAACCAATTTCCTCTAAAATGAATAAGAAACATTTTATAGTCAAAAAAAGATTTTCCGCTTTTTATGATTACAGTAAAACTTCGCCAATCGTACCTCCATGGTACCAGGAGGTGGGGGAATGACCAAAATGGCCGGATTAAACGGAGATATCTTGCTGATTTATCGCACCATCCTTTTAGCAACAAAATATCTCTAGATTTGCAATCTTCTTTAACTTCGACGTATCATATTTAGATCTCGAAGATTTTCGTTGCAGAGGCATGAGTGATTTTCGAATTTTCGGCAGGTTCCTCTTAATTTTCTACATTTTCTTCTGATGTGGAAGCGGCAGATATTATTTCTTCATCAGCTAATTCCTCACAATCAGGGTAATTTTCGTTAATATTTGCCAGCCATTCTTCAACGTCACTGGTTTTTATCGCTGAATCTATAATTTGAAAGTCCTTGGCAATTTCCAATGTTGTCAGGTCTTCTACATTGTATTCATTTTCACTGATGCTCATTTCTTCAGTGTTTCAGGGAAATTTCGTTCCATGCTGAAGCTGCTGTATAAATTACATCTTTCATTGTAACTTTTTTTATTGCCTGTATCAGATCGCTATCCTCCTGTTCCACAACGGATCCAACGAATTTTCTCCGGTATATTTTTTTAAAGCATTCAATTACTCGTTAATCCATGGGTTGAATTAGAGAAGTCAGGTTTGGCGGTAAGAATAGCGATTTTATTTCTCCAGAGGTCCGAATACTTTCACCTGGATCCACGCGACGGTGCAAAACTGTTTTTGAGGCAGGTTTTTTGATTTTAAAAATTGAAAAACAGTCGGAACGAATTCATTTTGGAACTAATCTTTAAAAAGATGTCAGTCCACCCAAAAAAGGGAAGTTTGTGATCTCCGCTTGCATTGCTACACAAATCAAACGTTAGACGCTCTTTTGACAATTTAGAGCTCTAAATGTGTCCTTTTCTTGTTGCCAATGGTTTATTATGGAGCCTTTTATAATTCAGGCATATTTCGTCCAAGTTATAAACTTGCTCAAGAAGCAAATTATTTTTCAAGATAAATTGTTTTACTTATCGATGAACGCGTTTGCCCCACCAACATCAGATAAAAGTTTTTCATCCGATATAGAAAACTGTCGAATTCCACCATGGCGATTTTTCTACCGTTGTAGCCACCCTTCTGAGTCAATAAACGTATCAACCGAAGAACTCCGCTCACTTATTTTTGCATGCAAAGCGATTGCTTCTTGTACAATGGTGTCCATTTTTCCTTTCTTGGTTAAACAAAACCCATCCGCCTAATCTATATTTGCAATTTTGATTTTTTAAATGTCTTTCTTGTCCTTTGGTCATGGAAAATGACTCGAGTTCCCTCCTTTTACGTCGCCAGTCTTGGATGGTGGTCACTTCGACCCCTCCTTCTTGCGTCATTTCTTTAGGTCTACGCCTAGATGAAAAAAAACATCCCTAATGATTTTACAAAAGTCAAAGAATACAAATTCAAAACTCACCTTTATTCAACCGTTCAAAAACCTGTATCTTTCTGTTGACATTTATTGTTTTGTGTTTTCTTTTTTCCATTTTTGGATATAAAATTATTACATAAACGATATGTAGACAGATATCTATTTCAGTTCGAAACACTACTGAAAAAATTGCCGATGAAACGGTGATAGCGCGTTTCAAGGATCACGTCCTGCAATGAGAATTTCGAAGAAATTCTCATTCGAAATTCTCATGGCAGGACGTCCAGATTATCCTGAGGATCGGAGTAGCGAGAGTCAGATTAACGAGGTTCTACTGTATACTAAAAAAACAAAGCAAAATCAGCTGTACGTCTTCAATAATTTATCTTCCGCTATCCCTCATATCCCTTTTAGAACTATCAAAAACCTATAAGATTTTTTCAGCTTTTTTTTACTTTACTGGCCTAAGGGGCGTTCAGGCATAATCTACGGATTGTAGCTTTGCACTTTGACCTACTCGAGTTAGTACATCAAACTCAGTAAGGTAAAAGTAACCTGTCGTAAAATGGTGAAAACAGCTCAGGTTCCCTGTCTATGGGCGACCAATCTAGTATTTGGCGAATTCTGCTTCGCAATGATAGGACGAGCCGACATCGTAGGATCAAAAAGTGACGTAACTATGAACACTTGATCGACACAAGCCAGTTATTCTTGTGGTGACTTTTGTAAAACATCTTGCTGAAAACTCTGTAAGCAAAGAGGATTGACATTCCGTGCTTTCGAAGTCTCTATGACACTCTGTTTCAAACAAGAGGCTATTTCAAAAAATTTAGATTGTCACACGCTGTTTGAAACCAAAAAATTGGACGGTATGTAAAGATAACAATTCGTTTGTAGTGGATATGGACGAAATAGTACAAGTATGAATAAGCCATATTTCGTAGAGTATGAGAAAGCTTTCGATAACTTACCATAGCATTTATTTTGGCCAACTTTTATCAATATAAACATCCCAAATCATCTGCCTAAACTACTACAAAGCAATCGTGAGATTTGGACCTCATTTTCCAAATATTTTTCCTTGCAGGATAGGATGGCTTATAGAAGGGCGTATCTGGATTCATTTCGCATAATGTGTCAGAAGTACTGTAGCTTTCGAGATTTGATGGTGGCCAGTACTTATAGGTTCTTCTTCATTCTTCTGAGGTCCTCTACATTTGTGACTCAGTCAGTCCACGGGATTTTAAGTATTCTCCGATATAACCATATCTCAATGCTTTGCAGTTCAAAAGCACAAGATAGGGCTCGAGATATGATATTTGAGAAAAATGCTTGCAATATCTTCTATGTGTCTTGCAGAGACTTTTTTGGAGCTGTTTGGAGATTTTTTCGTCTGTTGGACGCTTTTCGTTTCTTACTGCGATTTTTTCGTTCCTTTCCTTACAGAGCGGTTTTCCTTATCACTTTTCACTAGTTTCTCTTCATTAACTACTGTATTTAATTGGACTCCCAGATGCTTTTAAACAACAGATTAATCAAGATGAAGTGACATTGCTTAAATTGAAATATAAATTCTTTATAAAATGTTCAAAACAAACAATAAATAAGAGGAAAATCGACATCAAAATTGGCCCCTCAATCTTTTCTCCTTCGTAAGGATGTAGTGACGTCATGTAATTTGACTATTTCTGTCCAATTATCTCTCCCCAGTGCGTGTGGTTTTGCTTTTGATAATAAATAACAAGCCATCTCCTTTATTTGGTCCAACGGATCTCGTGATGCGTCGACGGATCTCGTTTTCGCATCCTTCACTGTTAGTAAAAACGGAGCTGAAGTAATTAAATTGTCTGACTTCTTCGTAACCTGCCATGATTCTTATCTCTGCCTCGTTGTTTCTGATTCTATCGATGATCATCACTTTGGTTTTCTGCATATTTATTTTCAAACCATATGAAAATGTTGACGTTATTTATAACATTTTGTCGTAATGTGTGAATTTTTGACATGATGACTTGGCATATGGCGCTTTGACGTATGGTTTGATGTCATTGCTTGACATACGACGTATTACATCATAATTTGACATGTGATGTACGATTTTAAAGTGAAATGTGGTACATCAAAATACGATTGTCTTTCGCACGCGTAAGTGGCCTCTCATTATGTCATAATATGTCCAGAATGCTTTGAGCTCTCAAATAAGAAACACATGAAAATAATCGTTGCTATACTTTTAAATCTAGTTATTCTGTAATTTTATTTTTAATAATTGCTTTTTCAAGATCGTTACGTTTTGCTTTTTCACGAATGCATCACTTTTTCGCACTGCTTCACTTTGTACAGCCCAAAACTGCTATGTGTAAATTTAGTTGAACCTAAAACAAATGAAGCCTACATTATTAATTAATAAAACAATTTATTTTTTAGCTTTGACGAACGGCGAACTACAGCACGAACCCAATTCAGATCAACAAAAGATTCTGTTTGCCATGGGATTAAAACTGTTACAAACCAGCGCGACTCCCATTTCATCAGAAGAGCTATCCAAAATTGAGATAAGCTACATCGAAAAATGCAAGGCTATGGTTAACATGCACAAGTCTTTAACGTGCGCCTGTCATAACGTGCCACATCAGAATCTTAAGGGGCTCTTGTCCCACTTGAGGGCTTTAAGAATATGGTTTCCAGTTTTCACGTGTTACAACTGTATGATTACGTTTACTGATAGATCTACATTTACAAGACATATTTCAAGGTGAGTGACAGCATCTTTTAAAATAGGTCGCTAGTTTCGATTCTCTTTTAACTAGTATCTACTTTAAGGAGGGTGGTAATAATCGTGGTCACTTTCGGGTGGTCCGCGTGATTCTCCTGTTTTAGAAGGGCAACAGAGGGCCGGGTGCTACAGTTTCTCTTAGAGCGTCCTAGGTCCGGTAGCAGCTTAACAATGCACGGTCTTGGCCTGAGAGTAGAAGAGCTCCGATCTTGTTTGAGTAGTAACACAGCTAAGATAAAATAATGAAAAACGAACTGACAATAACGTCACTCAGAAGCAAGCATATATACTTGTATAACCAACTCCCGGTAACCTGAGGGTTGACCATTGACTGATCATACTTTTTACCCAATGACTTAGTTACATCACTGTAACACCTCTGTACTATATGTCTTTGCAATGTTTACTTTATCGACAAACAATTTGAGTTTTAAATCTTAAATGTAAATTATTATTACCTCATAAATCAGACCCTTTTTGTGTATATTATTTACACAATATCTGAAGCGCCAACTCTAAACTCTTAAGAAGCGGCTCTAATTAGATTAAATGCGTCGTAAATTCCTAAGCAGAATGTAGTAGCATCTGATTACCCGTATTAAAAGAGAAAATCAATCGAAAAAAAAACACTATTAGTCAATAACATATCGAAGATACATAATTTATGTTTTAAAATAAAATATAATCAGAGTTTGGTGTTTGAGAGTAAAATAATTGTAAGATCAAATACTTACCATGTCGAGATAGTATCATGTTTCAGATTTTCCGTCCCAGAGATTAACTGTTCGCCATGGAGAGTTAATTTTTGGACGAAAAATTTTTGGTGCCATCTTTAAAATAGAGTAACAATGGAAAAAAAGAAAACCATTTTTTTTTGTAATCTTTAAAAGTTGTATAATAAAAAAAAGTTTGATTGTCATATATAATAGATCAGATACAAAAAAAAATATTGAACATGTGTAATTTGTTAGCATTCTAGACGAGATAATAATACCTTAAAGTAAAATTGGTGCTTATTCCCAACAAAATTAAAAAAAATTGCATTAAGATTCCACAAAAAAATAGCTTCAGAACAATGTTACTTACACTTCATCCAGTTTATATAACGATGCACGTCATCGGCGTCATAGCCTGTGACGTCACATGATACCAACACAAAATATTTAGGGTGTAGGTGTGTTCTTTTTTAGAATCACTTTACCGAGTACACTGGCATTACAGCCACTAGACATATTTTATTATATACGCGTAGAAATAATATTTAAAAATTTCTATTAATGTTAACTTAAAGAAATACACAATAATATGTTTCATTTAATTTGTATAAATGCATTATAAAGCGTTTTTATCAAGAACATTTGTTCGGAACACACTGTAACTGTAATCGAACAAAGCTAAAATTTTGGCATAAATTGGTAACACTTATTTGACAGTTGCGGTGTTGACACTTTTTGTACTTCATTATTTTGAATTTTAAATTGAATATCTCTTGTTTTATATTTTTAACTATTTAATAAAATCTGTTCTTTTTAGAACAAAATTAATGTGTTTTATTTAAAAAATGTCACGTTAGAATTTAAATAGTCGTTTTAAAGAGATGGTAATACTTTTGCAATAATTATGTAATCTATTTGATTTAAAAGTTGAGTCAGGATTTTTTTATATTTTGGCAACTATGTCAACTTCGATCTCTGACGTAGATAATGACGTAAGTCGTTATCTAAATTAGATGAAGTATATTTAAAAATATGCGTCACGGTAAATTGTCATACGTCACGTTAAATTGTCATACGTCACTATAAATTGTCATACGTCACGTAAATTGTCATCCTTCAAGTGAAGATATTACCAAAGAATATAGGCGTATATAGAAGAACAGTTCAAATGGGCGACTTGGTTACGGTTATTATACTTCAAAACAATCCAAAACAAAGATGGCGACTGCATAAACTCAAACGTGGCCGTCGGCTTAAAACCATCCGAAAAGATATAGTTAGGGGGAAGTGGGAAAGGAGTACGAACGGAGCTATTTATTTAACTTATGCATCCATGCTTAATTAAATTTCGTCGCCATTGATTTTCAATTTTTTTTTGTTTAGTAAGGTATGAAATTTACAATATTCAAAGTATTTATTTTTTTTATTCCATGTAAATAAAATTTTATAACTCTGAATTAAAAATAGTTTTGTTCCAACAGTATCAAAAACCCTCACGTAACTTTTTATCATACTGTTTTCCTGCCCACTTACGAAACATTTTAAAAATTTTTTAAAATATATTCAACCAAAAATTTTCTCAGGACTTTTCATTAAACTTTTTAGACTATTTTCGAAATTATTTTCATTGAACCATTGTCCAGTCAGTATTCAATTAAACTTTTTACTAAATTTAGAAAGTTTCCATTTCGCCGAAACTTCCAAACTTCCCTTTCATCCATAATCTTTTAATAACCATAAAAGCATTCCTAAATTGTTTTTGAAATATTTAACAGTAACTTTTAATGAACAGTCTATGTGAAAGTTTTTACGCTGCATGGGTACTTACTCTTATTTTAAAATAACAACTACTAGTAAAACATAATTTTCACAATAAATAAATATTGGTGAAATTATTACAATATAGTCTTAATTGATTTAAAGTTGAAAATAATCTGATGACATTAATTAAAATTAAAATAAATTTTAAGTATAAATTTAACCCCCTCTGTGGCTCAGTGGTAAGAGCGCCTGCCTTTAAATCTAAAGGTCGTGAGTTCGAATCCCACCTGGGTGAAAATTTTCGTTTATTAAAAAAATTAATAAATGAAAATAATTTCTATCCTTGTGTGATCGGTACACACCGGAGGGACCGCAGACGTTCGGATACAATTAGCGTCTCTTAGCAAAGACAATGACGTCGACTTTGCTAAGTATCAAGACAATTACTCTACACACACACACACTACACCTCAAATTGTAAGAGTGGCGAATGGATTTAGTGTCCGCAGTCATTTAAACACAAACAAACAACAACAACAAGTATAAATTTATGACATTTACTAAAATATAATCTTCATAACTGATTTTTTTATTCATATATGAATGAATAAATTATTGATTTCATCAATCCCCTCTGGACATGATGATTTATATGGTAATTGCTCATTTGATTTTGTCCTAGTTCACCACTTTGTTTTGCATCACGCCAGTTTTTTTTAGAACCATAAGCTATGATATCCATTCCAGTTGCTGTCACGTGTCTAATGGTATCAGTTTTGTTTGAGACTCAGGAAAGTGCATCCTGAAAAGATATTTCCGAGTCTCTTTACAATTTAGAGTGTATTCACCTAACTTATTTTGGAGCGAGGGAATACTTATCTAAGGGTCTTTTGAGAGCATTTTATGGAGCTTTGCCATTTCTGCAGTCTGTTCTATGTCCTTGCAATGCCCTCCATGATTCTCTTTTTGCCCCTCTAAGTTTTGGAGCAATTAAATTTTCGTCTGACTTCTGTCCTTTGATTTGCAAGATTGTCATTCCACCAGGGTAATTTCCCGTTGAAATTCCTCACTATCTCCGAACAGTTATCTTTAAGCGGTGACATGACAATGAAATTGTACGCCGGCCATGTCTACGTTCATTGTATGCCTTATCGTCCCTTTAATCTTACCTAAACAATATTCCAGGTCTGCTTGATATGCTTTCCAATCTAAGGCATGCCAATTTTTAACAGTTTGGTGTTTGTACTGCCCCAGGTCAGATGGTAGATATTTGTATCATACCAATGATTAATTGCAGTTCATTTTTCATGCAATCTCTCACTAACTGTTTCAACTCCCTTGATGGTTGTTCGGGATCATCATATGGGAGGTATGATGATCTCAGAACTATCTCCTTCATAACTCCTTCCTCTATGACCTTTATCTTTAATGTCGTTCAGTCTGTGTGTATACAGAACTACAAAAGTTCATTTTGACCTCCGATAGGAGTCTTAGTGCTCCACTTTGTTAATGATCAAATTTGCTTGAGCCCGATCTAGTTGAGTAACAGGATGGTGTCTGTGTGCTACCACTATTCTAAATACTTTTGTCACGGTGCTTTATGACCTAGTCTGCTCGTTAGAGTCCCTTAGTTTCTTAGCATTGCTGTTACGAGGGGGCTGATGGTATGTCCCGAAGTTTTTTTTATCCTCGAGTGTTGCTGATTTGATTTTCTTGGGATTTGCTATGGTTCATGTCTAACCAGCCATTTTTGTCTTTTTTCTTATCTTCCTTTGTTGAGCTCTAATGAGGCGTTATTTAAGACTTATTTATTTATTTTTTTTTATTTAAAAATCCGAAATTATACTTCACAATTTCGAATTTTCAAATTATAAAAAATAATTCTTTGGTGTATGTGCTAAATTCTAGCGTACCAATAAGATCAGGAATTGTTTTTTGATCAAAAACCTTTGTAAGAAAAGAGTTTTAATTATATTGTTTGTAGATTTGTACATATATTTAAATTAAAAATTTGAATCATATTTTTCCTAAAAGGATTCATTTATTAAAAGTTTTCAAAAAGTCTTCAAAAAATTTTGTAAAACGCAAAAATTTATTGCTATTCTACGACTACGGGCATCTACATAAAAATATCTAAAGTTGCATTTGTTGCCCCACTCTTTCTTATTTTAGAAGCAGTAATAGCGATGACATGACCGCTCATGATCAACTTCTGATCGTTTTGTGTATAACCTTTGCTGTTGCTAAAAATGACAGAGAAAGATTCTTCCTTACGCGTCTATATTCTTTGATATTACATATCAACCAAAACGTTACAAATCACTTCAAAATGTGATAGATCATGTGCAAGTGAAAACAATTTAGTCGTAGTATAATAACCAGACTATTTTTTTTATAATTTTTTGTGATTGTATTATATTCTTCTTCTTGTACTACACGGTCCTGTTTATTTTATCATCCCAGCTCTTCTGATATTGATGACCAGCTCTCATTCTACCTCTTCGGGAGTCTTCTTGGTGTTTTTTTTTGGATTGGTTTATGTGTTTTTGCCCATTTCGCGATTCTTTCTGGGTTCACTGCCGACATGATGTCTTTTCATTTCCATTTCACCACATTCTGGATTCCAATTTCTCTTAATACACTTATTTCTTATTGTATCAATGAGAGACATTCCTCTTATTGTTCTTAATGCTGTTACATCTGTAATTTAATATTTTGATATTGGTAAAAGTATTTTAGAAATTGTTACCTTACCAACCTTACACATCCTGCTTATTTTTAGATGTCAAAGCTCCCCACTGGATTCCATCACGAAGCTTAGTAATCTCAAAAAGCGTAGCGAAGTAAAGACCAGGCTGTACCAAAATTTCAAGTGTACCATCTGCAAGTTCATGTTCAGTTTTCACGAAGATTTTTGCACTCACGTTGACCTGGACCATTCCATGTTACAGTTTCCTGTACACTGCCCATGTGGAAGAATTTTCGAGAATATGGAAGACTACAAGGACCACGTTTACGTCAGTTGTCTTGTAGAGTTTTACTGCGACATTTGTTTTGTTACTACTAAGACGCTAGATGATTTTCAGAAGCACGCGAAGGAAGTGCACGACGATTCTGAAGGATTTATATTGCTGCAGGACGACAACTATAAAGTTCGAAAGCCTTCTATGCATGTCAGTCCCAGTGTTATAGACGAGGGAGTTATTCTAACAGGTAAGTTTTTTTTTAGAGCTATTTCCAGGTAGATATACAGTAGTACAATTACACGAATAGTACTTTCATATATGTAAACATTGAACATATAATTTCTGATAGAAATGCAATGGCTTACCAAAGGGATTTATTATGAATACTGTTTTGAAAATCAAAAGACTGATATTTTTTTGTACACACTTATGACAAGTCGAAAGAAAATGCAAAAAAGTATTTTTGAAGTGTGTATATTTTAGGCAATTCCTAGCTGAGCGCTTTCGGCTTTACAAAGCCATCATCAGAGCTATGGTCAATTTTTTAAATACCACTACAAAGGGGAGATCTCATTTCCTTAAATTTCAAAATTATGATTTTGTAGGTGTTGAAATTCTTAAAACATATAAAAAACATATAAAAAGCCGACACTGGACTTCACAAACACGTTAAAAAATTGAAAAAATTTTTGTCATGGTACGAGTGTAAGAACCCGACCATTGATTGATGTGAGGACGTAGACAGAATAGATTCTTCTGTTTTACATCTCTCCTATATACAGTGAGGACGTAAAGGTTTGCATAAATTCAATATTTTTGTAACTAAAAATATTTTGACCAGATCCAAATAATTCCAAATACTGAAGGTTAGTATTCTTTTTTCGTTTTTGAATTTGCTTTAAAAAACGATTTTAAAAATATAAGACAATTTTTCATTAAAGTAACGATTGCTAAATCAAATCATCAATAGCTATCCACATTAGCGAGATACAGGGCGAATATTGAAAAATGTCGAAAACGAAAAGGTTAAATATCTTATTATTAAGATCTTATTTTATGAACCATAAGACTCTAACATTGTGTGTAATATAAAAGTCTTAAGTTTATTTTAAAAAAGTTATTAACATTTATAAAAAACCGAAATTTTTGACTTATTTTGCCACTTTCTAGGCAACGAATAAAGATAGGGACGTTTAGAAAGGCCATTTTGAAGGTTTTTATATGACTTATAAGTTTCTTCTCTTCTCAAATTTGTTTCAAGCGCTTTACTTTTTGCTGATAGACGAAAAAAGCGAAAATTTACCGTTTTTTGACCTTAATTTGTTAATAATTAATAAGTCCAAAAAATCGACTGTAGGAAACATATAGGTTCTTGTTATAGAGGTACTTTTTTTGCTGCTTTCCCTGGTCTATTAGTTCAATTTGTCAGTTAAACATTCCTGCACGGGCTAGGCAAGCTTCGTCGCTAAATATTACCTTTACTGTTACCTATTACCTTTTAATATAACCTACTCTACGAAATGTATATTTTTTCAAGATGCAACAATTTGTTATTTTATATAAAAAAATATTGAAATTTCCGGAAATCTAAACGTCAAAATACTTATTTTAAAGTAAAGTTGTGGCTTATTCCCAATAAAAAATAGTAAATTGTATTGTCACAAAAACTAGCTTCAGAAGAGAAATAATAAAAGAAGAGAATAAAATTATATCGAATAAACAATTATAAATGGAAATGAAAAAGGTAATAAAATACAGTGTGTTCTATGTATTTCGTGACAATTTTATTTATATAATATGGAATCAATACTTTAAAAATAATAACTCACTTTACCAACAATAGCAGTTACGTATATACTTTACTTTAAGGTAGGTACTGATTTTATTGTTGCTAAATAAAACTGTCAAGCGATTAGTATCCTCAGAATAAAATGTGTTAAAATACCATTTTGCGAGTGTTTTATTTTTAAGTACCTATAACATGACGTCAACTATAAACATTTTATTTGCATAGTAGCTACAAAAACTGAAAATAGATGTATAACATATCATATCACGTGAAAGAGAATCGTAAACGAAAAATGTCAAAATATATATGGCGTCCCATAAAACATAAGTTGGTATTATATTTCCTTAGTGAGACTCCCTAAAAAAATTTCTCGTGCGCCACTGAACTCTTTCATAATAGATATATCAAAAATTACAATAGTGTTTTTAAATTTTTCTTAATAAAGAAGATATTTAACCCCGTCGTTTTCGACAGTTTTCAACAATCGCACTGTATCTTGCCAATATTGTGAGCTATTGATGATTTGATTGGTCACTTACTACTTCAACGAAAAAATAAGTCAAAACACCCAATTTATTTAAGAAAATATTGAATTTATGCAAACCTTTACGTCCTCACTGTAGGTTACAAACGCAATAAAAAGGCTTAAACATGTTTTAAACTATCTTTAAAATTGCTTTATAAAGAAATTAGATAATATTATACGGATATGTCCAACAAGAAGGCTTATTTTCTGCTCCTATTACAATATTTTTCGGTGGTTTTTAATTTGTTATTCTTGAGATTTGATCAGGATTTTTTTATTACAGGAAAAAGAGAACGCAAGTCATCCTATCGCTTCGTAGATGATGACTTAGACGAAGTCATTCCACTTGACGTAAATACGAATTTGTACACTCCAAGAACCAATAACAGAAGCTGTCCGATTTGTACCAAAGAATATTCTTCGTATAAGAACATGATGCGGCACTACAAAACTCACAGACCTGAAGAAATCCAGGAGCACAGACAGCAACAACAGTTCGACTATGATTCACAAGATATGCAAGACATGGATTTGGAAGATGAAGAATCGATGTATTCGTGTCCCGACTGCGGAGGAATGTTCAAGTCTTTGGAGTGGAAAATACATTTGACTGAGCAGCATCAGCAGAAACCTTGTGGGGAATGCGGGAAGTTTTTCCAATTCCAGACGGAGCTTGATCAACATCGAGCCACGCATTTGAACTTGAAGGTATGTTTATCTATATATTATAATAGAAGGCATGAGGTGATACAGATGTTTTTTCCATTTTTGATCGTTTTAAGTAAATAAAGAAATCTAGTTAAAAAAATTTAAAAGTAGTAGTAAAGAAATCTAGTAAAAAAAATAGTATTTCATTTTTTAACATACTTTCCTCAGTTGGATACCGTAAAACTGGAGGACTTTGCTCGAGTTTTGAAGTTTGGCACAATTTTTTTTAACCAAATTAGTAAAAAGTTGCTGATATTATATATAGACACGGGGTGTGCCAAAAGAAGCAAGATGGTCGAATATTTCTCAAAATTTACATCGAATCAAAAAACTGAAAAACATGTTTTCAATCTTCTTCAAAAATCTATCTGTCTAAATATGACATGACCCATCACGTTACCCAGGGGTTGGGGTGGGAGGCAACTTTAAAATCTTAAATATGGACCCAGAATATTTTAATGCAGATTTGGATTCCTTCTGCAAAAATAATAACTTTTATTCGAGACATTTTTACGAATTGTTGATAGATGGCGCTATAATCGGAAAAAAAAATTATCCTAATAGATACCCTAAGAGAATTGAGGAAACTGTCTCATATCTCGAGAAATACACTTTCAAATGAAAAACTGAGTAACACTTGTTCAATATTTTTCAAAAATCTATCGACTGACACCAAACACGACACCCCGAGGTCATTTTTTATTGTAGATTCGTATTCTGCAAAAAAATTCTTAAAAAAGTATTTAGTAGCATAAAAATTAAATTGCAGACTAATGTGTATTTCTTTTTCTTTGATTACAGCGTCATCTATCGCCAATAGAAAAAATACAGGTAAAACTTGTTTACTTTTTTACGTAGAATCCTAATATGCAATAAAAAATTATGATTTTCCGTTCTCTATTTACGTTTTTCCATTCGATAGATTTTTGAAAAATATTAAACACGTGTTTTTTCGGTTTTCATTTGTAAGTATATTTCGGCAGATACTAAACCGTTTAAATATGGAGGTTCCCATTTAAGATTTCAAAGTTCAAGTCAACAAATGCATTTTTTTAATGTAGTATATTTTTTACCTTCCATTATAGATTTACCCATTTTTAAGTAGTTATCAACCGATTTCTGTAGACGTTCTTCCACTTTTTATTGTCTTTAGAAGCAGCTTTTCGAATATGCAGATCCTCAGAATTAATGCTTTTTCTCGTGGCAACGTTAATTTTTCTTTTGGTTCTATAGAATTTATCCCTCTATTTATTTTTTTCAATTAAGTTTATGACGACATAGTTCATCCTTGCTGTTATTTCGAAGGTATTCCGAAGATTTGATTTGTAGCTGGCGATTCTTTATATTATCTTTTCTTGATCAACTAAGACAATTCCAAGTATTCGAAAACCACTTACCAGATGCTTTTTACCATGTTTTTTAAGAGCATCTACTATTTTTTTCAAGAGTTAAGTAAGCTATATTCTTGAGATGGAAGTTAGTAAGTCAAGCGGTTGAGTTTGCAATAAGGCATACAAAGGAGATTTTTCCTTTTCATAAGTTTGAAACCAATAACCAGTTTATAGGCCAATTAGGTTAGATTTTTACTCACCTGTATAGGCGGGAATGAAAGTTAAAATGTGTAGTATGAGATATTACAAAAAGATTCTCATCTAAATAATCAATTTTTAGTGGAAATATTCTTAAATAAACAAGCAAAACGTCAATCTCATTATTTTGCTTGTAACTTAAAAACTCGTCTATTTAGAGATTTGACGTCAAAAGACAACTTTTTTTTTTTGAAAAAAAAAAAAGATACACAAAATGAGATATGCTAAATTAAAATCGGTTAATAAATAAAAAAAGTTTTGCAAAATGAATAACACTTTTATCCTAAATCAGTCAGTTTATTATTTAGATTTTTTTATTTATAGTGTATAATGTTTGTAAAAATTAATACACTACTCTGAAAGAGAAAGAAAAATTGTTTTCATATATTTTTGACCTATTTATGCTATTTCTAATTTGTGCTTCCACATTTATACGCAAGAAATTAACGCACCACTTCAATAAACCAATTTTATTTGTAAACAGGCAAAGAATAAAAAATAAAACTTCACCAAATTTATTCTCCATTTTATTAGTAATTATAACAATTTATCTAATCATCAGAAAATGTTGAAGTACAGGAGAAAAAAATAATAAAACGGAAAATTCTAAAAAAAATAATGATAAGAAAAGTAAAGTATAATATGAAAGAAGTCTTAATAACGAGTGTTTCCACCTCTACTACGTATAACAGCCTCACATCGCTGGCCCATACTTAAAATAATTGCCGTATTTCATTCTGGTGTGGATCGATGTCGCTCTTAATCGCCTACCAAGGATATCCCAGAGATTTTCAATTGTGTTAATTTCTACCTCTTCTAGATAAGTTCTGACGATCTGTGCAGCGCGAAGTCTGGCATTAGTTAGAAATTTTTACCGATATAAGGAGCGAATGGTGCTACATGTTGTCGCCGATATAAGGAGCGAACGGTACTACATGTTATTCCAGGATCTCCAATATGTACCATTCAGCTGTAACAGTTCCAATTTGTATGACCACTAGGTCCGTACGTGTGGTCAAAGAAATACCATCCCACACCATAACGGATCCTCCACCGAAAAATTGGTGTGTGAGAAGTTACACTAAGCATATCGTTCGTTGGGTCGTCACAACACACGAACCCATCTGTTTTTATTGTACAACAAAATCGGGATTCATCAGTAAAAAGCACTCGTTCCCAGTCAGCCTCTAACAAATTAACGTGTTCTCTGTCAAAATGTAGTCTCCCCCTTCGATGTTCTGCAGTTAATAGAGCAATCTCTGCGGCAATCCTAGGTGTTAAGTTGTATTCCCTAATTCGCTGGCGAACAGTTTCAGTACTAATTTGTATAGCATGCACGTCTCGAAGCTGAATTTGTAGACTTCGATGTGTTACAAAACGTTGTCGAAGAGCAGAAATTCTTAAAAATCGATCTTGAATAGGGGTAGTTACCCGGTTTCGTCCTTGCCCTAGCCTGCGAGTATGATCCCCTGTTTCGAGGAATCCGTGAGACGGATGTGTGGGACACATTAAACCGACGACCAGTTTTGCGGTAACTCCAACCTTCTTCTAACAGTATCACTGCTTGGGCACATTCATATCGGGTTAAATTACGTGATTGATGCGCCATATAAAACACAATTAACAATAATCAACAATTAAACAGTAGCCTAATAAAATTCGTGAACACTTGGAAATTAGTATATTTATAGAATTCGTCAGAATTTTTTGCTTCTTTTTGATTTGTTGCAAAAAAAACTATAGCGATAAAACAAGTCAATAAATATAGGGTGTACGAATAGAATATACGAGGGACTTGCAAAATATAATGTACCGTTTCTAAGTAAAACGAGCGGTTCGAATTTATATAAATATATTTATTTATATGTTCGCAACAATAACATTACAATGTAAATATTTATTAACGCTAATATAATATTTTAATATTTTAAACTGGTGCGTTAATTTCTTGCGAGAATTGTAAATGCTTCCACATGTAATAAATGCTTTCACACTTACAATTATATTTACTTTGTTTCAGATATCCAGGGACTCGAAAACACAATCATACACGAGCACTATGATAAGTCCTGGAGGAGAAGACGACTTGGAGGAACCAAGTGAGCGAGTGTTCGCTTGTGAAGTGTGTGAGTTCGTGTTCAGTACACAAGACGAATTAATGAACCATAAGCTTGAACAAGACCACGGCGAACTCGAACCTATGGATAATATGGACGGCATGGATAACATGGACGAAAATATGGACATAGACGTAATGGAACCGTTGCAAACTATGGAAATTTTAGAACCACAGATCGAGACTACTGCAAAGAAATCTAAGTGTGATGTTTGCAATCAGGAATTCAATAATTACAACGGCCTGTGGGAACACAACAGGAGCAAACATCCAGAAAGAAAAACACCACACGTGGATACATATCCTAAAAAATGCAAGGACTGTGACAAGGTGTGTACTACTGGAGCTGCTTACTATAGACACATTCAAATCCATTCTAAAGTACCATCAGACGCTAGTACCAATAGAATGACTTTATTGAAACCAAAGAAAGAAATTGACGAAGAATCTTATCATACATGTAAGAAATGCTTTAAAGTATTTTCCACCAAATATAACTTGAAGAACCATTTAAAATGCCATGGAATTAATATTAATCCTGTTGCGAAGAAGATGGTGAGGAAGGCAGTCTGCAGGGTGTGCCAACAAGTGTTTGAAACCAATGAAGAGTTGATTAGACACAAACAAGAGTATCATAACTCAGTCGAAACTCCATATGATAATGGGGACAGATCCAGTGTGGTCTTCCCCTGCGATATTTGCGTTATGACCTTTGGAAGCAAAATCGCTCTGAAGAAACACAAAGACAGACATATTCTCGAGTCAAAACCACACACCAGAGGAGTATACTGCAAGTACTGCAAAATTTCATTTGATTCCTACCAAGCTCTCTCCATGCACATGCAAAGAGAACACGATGAAAGAGCAAAGAAGCAAATAAAAGAAGTTGACAAACCTGACGAGTACACTTGCAGTATTTGCAATAAGTCATTCCAATCAGCTGGAGCTCTTACAACCCATATCGGCTGGCACAAACGTGCCCTAAACGACGGAACTGGAAAGTTACTGAAGCATGCTCCACCAGCTAAACCTAAATTACTCAAAGTGCAACCCGTTACTATCAAAGAGGAACCTTCTGATGAGCCAAGACACCAGTGTAGTACATGCTTGGCAGAATTACCCAACGATACTGCTCTACAAGTTCACATTTTGGAGAAGCATAGAAGCGTCAGTGCCATTATGCTCATCCCCCGTTGCAACACATGCAACAAAGACTTTACAACACAAGACGAATACGAAACCCACAAAAGACTTCATGATTTCTTGGAACGTCAGAAACAGCACGAGCAGAAAATGCTAATACAACAGCAGGACAGCCCTCAGCAGAAGATGGCACCGAATAAACCAAAGTTCCCCTGTAAATACTGTAACGCCGCTTTCAGCAGGTCTGACACACTCGGTGGCCACATTAGACAGTACCATAAAGAGCACGTTCAGACTGAATTTAGATGTAACCAGTGCGACAGAGTGTTCGAGAAGCAGAATTCCTTGACCATTCATTTAAAAACTCACGACAAGCAAAGAAGCGTTAATCAAGCTTCTGCCAGCAAACCGATGTTTTCTTGTTCTATTTGTAACATGGGCTTTGATCTACCGAAGGATCTGAGAACTCATACTATCACTGCCCATCCATTTTGACGAGGGTCCTTTCAGTAAGTTAGACGCTACTTTTCTATAATAATTTTAGGTTTTTCATGAATGTTTAGTTTGTTCTTGATTTCGAGTGTAAGTTTTATTAGATAAGTATTTTTTTATAATAGGTTGTCTTTATTAAAACCTACACCTAATTATATCTTGTAGTTTTTTTTATTTCAAAGAAGCAATCTTATTGATAACCAGTTTCTGGAATGATACACTGGCTTTCATATTTGTAGAGCCTGTTGTAAACTTTAGGGCAGTGATCAACAAAATCCGCATAGCCGTGGTAATTTCCAAGTAGAAGACCTGAAATAATTTTTTCATTAAATTAGACGTCACTAAAGGCGATACGGCAACGATCGTAGCTGTCTCTGGTCAGTTGCGGTTTTACTTTAGGTTTCAAATAGGTGAAACGCCTTGAAACTTGTTGAAGATGTCGTGGGTGACTTTGGTTTGGGAGATCGAAACTGCCACCTGGCAGTTTCGATCTCCACCAGACTCTACACCTGGCAGTCTCCACAACTACGCATGACAACATCGTAAGAAATCAAATTAATTTTTTATTGAATAATCAGAGATTCATAAATGGATTGCAAGGATTAAAAAAGTACCCTGGAACAGATATCGGATATGATCACAATCCCGTAGTAGGAAAATTGAAAATTAAGCTTAAGAAAATTTAAAAAAAAATCCATAAAGAAAATTGATATAAACAGCTTTAAACAACCTAACTTTAAACTAAAAGTAACAGAAAAATTAAATGAGGCAATAGCGGATATCACGCTACATGGCTAAACCGGCCAGTATAGAAGACAAATTTAATTGTATTAAAAAAGCTATCGTAACCACCACCGAGTCTCTGATCGTTTCCCAAAAGTACAAAAAGAATTGGATGACTGACGAAATATTATCAGTGATGGACGACCTCAGATCATTTAAAAACAAAGACCGAATTAAACATCAGCAGATTAACCGACAAATACGAAAAGAGTGTCGCAAAGCTAAACAGCTAACAGTGGCTGGTAGACAGGTGTGCAGAAATGGGGGAATTGGAAGAGAAACATGACCACTTTAACATACATAAATTTGTTAAAGAAGTGACAGTTCATAACAAAACCTTGCAGTTTTAACACTATTGTGAAACGATAAATTAATTGCTGATCCCAAGGATCTACTTCAAGATTGGAGAAACTACACACAGCAACTATACTCAGACAACACTAGATGAAACTCTGAAAGTGAATATAAAGTGAAATCTCCAAAATATTGAAGTCAAAAGTTGTAAGGGGAATCAAACAGAGCAAATGGGGAAAAGCACCAGGCTCAGACGACATATACATAAAGCTTCTAACAATGTTGAGTGAAGAGAATATAGACGCCTTGGTAGATCGTTTTAATGACATTTATGGGTCCAGTCTAATACCACAGGATTGGCTTCAATCAACCTTTATACCAATCCCAAAAAAGCCAAACGCTAATAGTTGCGATCAATTCCGAATGGTCAGCTTATTGAGCCACGTCCTTAAACTCTTCTTGAAGATAATTCTCACAAGAATATGTGGAAAAGACATTAGCCCCACACAGTTCAGTTTCAGACAAGGATTTGGTATAAGAGAAACACTTTATAGCTTAACTGCCCTACTTCAGAAATGCAGAGATCTGTAAAAAGATGTCTTCCTATGCTTTATAGATTACCAGAAAGCGTTCGATTATGTTAATCATTCAGAATTAGTAAGATTGCTCCAGGAACGTTCGATAGATGAGAATGACCTAAAAATCATAAAGAACCTTTATATAAATAAAGTGGCATCTGTGAGAGTAGGACGTATTCTGTTCACGTATTCTGTGAATTCACGATTCACATCTGTGATATATCCCGCTACCAACCCGCACTGGCCAGCGTGGTAGTGAAGTCGCTAATTTTCCCCCGTAAATGACATGACAGAAACTAGAAAAAGGCCCTTAGTCCCAACGGTACCTGATGACGGTAGCCATCATATTGGACCAAGGGCAGAGGGTGCAAAGAATCACCGGGATAGACGCGGCTACCATGGACAACGAACATTGCATATTGGGACTTATAACGTAAGAACGCTTGCAACTGACGATAAGCTCATTGAATTAGAGGAAGAACTTAACTGTATAAAATGGGATGTATTGGGACTTTCCGGAATACGAAGAAAAGGAGAAAATCGATTAAAACTGCACGAGAGACGCTCTATTAAAATTATCCAAGTATATGCACCCACGACGAGCCATAGCGATGAAGAAATTGAAAACTTTTATGAAGATATAAATAGAGCTATAGAAAAAGATAAAACCCACCACCTAATCTTAATGGGCGATTTTAACGCAAAACTTGGATTTAAAGAAGATAACGCAGAAGTGGCTATGGGTCCATTGGATATGGTGAACGAAATGATAGAGGAGGTGTGCTACTACATTTTTTGTTGCATCATCGGCTCTATGTGATGAACACATTCTTCAAAAAGGACCAATAACGTAAGTGGACGTGGGCTAGTCCAGATGGCATAACAAAAACGAAATTGATTTCATCATCACAAATAGAAAAAATATTGTACAAGATGTTACAGTAATTAATAAAATGACTGTTGGGAGTGACCATCGGTTGGTTAGAGCAAAAATAATGATAAACATTAGACGAGAGAGGACAGCAATGATAACAGAGAGGCATTCTAATAAATGGAAATCGATAGAAGATAGAGTAGCTTATCAGAATCTCTTAACTTCAGAATTGAAAGAAGTAGAACAACTAAATGAAAATGCATTAAATATAGAGGTGACAAACATGCGAATAAATAGTGCCATTCGAAACGCTCATACAAAATATAACGAAAAAGGAAAAAAGCAAGATAGATTAACTCACTCAAGCTACTAAAGATCTTATAAACAAAAGAAGAGAATTGAAAGACAAATACACAGATAATTTTTGAACACTAAGACAGTTAAACAAAGATATCACAAACTCCATTCGAAAAGATGTCAGAAATTATAACACTGAATACATCACTAATGCCATTGATAAAAATAAAACTTTAAAGGTTCTGCGCCGACAAATGACTGAAGGATCGAAAAATATTTGTAAACTTTTAAATTAAAAAATGAGAAACTACAACAAATAAGGAAGATATTTTAAAAATTGCCCAAGATTTTTAATCAGAATTGTATAAGCAAGAAGAACTTCCAGATCCTGATCAAAATCAAATACCTACCAAAAGTTCAAAATGTAGGCTCAGAATATATCCCAGATATCACAAAAGAGGAGATAAAATCAGCTCTCAGACAGGGTGATACTATCTCCCCTAAATTGTTTACAGCTGTTCTTGAATATATGTTCAAGCAGATGGAACGAGAGGATAATATGGGAATTCATATAAACGGTGAAGATCTGAACCACCTAAGATTTGCCGATGACATCGTTTTAATATCTGATAGAGTTGATAAAGCTACAAAAATGCTGCACACGCTCTATAAAGTGTCAAAATCAATTGGTCTTAAAATTAACACCTCAAAAACAAAATTTATGACCAACCTTGTAGTCAGCGGTAAAATTCTGATTGAGAGCCATAGCATCGACCAAGTAATAGCTTACAAATATCTAGGGTATGAGATTCGCCTAGGCCGAGATAATCAGATAACTGAAATACAAAGAAGGATAGGTCTGACATGGGCTGCCTTTGGTAGATTGAATAACATTTTCAAGTCTAGTATCCCAGTTTGTTTAAAAAGAAAGGTTTTTAACCAGTGCGTTTTACCGGTTCTTACATATGGTGCAGAAACACTGACTCTGACAAAAAGAACAATAGATAAAATAAGAGTTACACAACGCGCTATGGAAAGATCAATATTAGGTATTACCATCAGAGATAAAGTACCAACCTAGAAATAAGAAGAAGAACAGGAGTCACAGATACAGTCGAAAAAATAGCCAGGGCTAAATGGGCTTGGGCCGGACATGTTGCCAGATTAACGGATGACAGATGGACCAAGAAGATTCTGGAATGGCGACCAAGGCAAGATGCGTATCGAAGCAGAGGACGACCACCGACTAGATGGACGGATGATATCATGCGCGTCCCACAAACTGGATGCAAGAAGCTCAAGACAGAAATAAGTGGAAAATTTTACGGGAGGCCTACGTTCAGCAGTGGACAAATATGGGCTAATTGATGATGATGATACAAATGCAAAACAGAGTGGAATAAAAACTGAGCCTTGTGGATGTCCGTTGTTGTTATTTCTTGGATTTACCTATCTACCTGGAACCATATTGACTACCTGACTTGGAATGTGAAATAGTTTCAACATCTTGTCTTTTAAAATGGGGAGGTATACTTTATCAACCGCACTTTCTGGGTATATGAAAGGGCAAAAAGGTAATTCTCTGCAATAATTATTGTTTATGTTTACCACAAGAGTATTAAGAACATCCTTTTTTAAAAGGAATTGATTTTGATACGATAATTTATTATCCACCTTATAATCTTTGATAATTATTTCTCAAGTCTTCAAAACACACAATCTCGAAGAGATTGACGTATAATATGATTGTACCAACTTGGATCTTTATCTGGCTTAAGGATTGGTATGACATTATATATCAATTTCTGCATCTTTAAAAAGAACATCATTGAAAATATCAAGTAATACATTATTCGCTATACTCGGAAGTTGTCTAACCATAGGATATTTAATATCATCGTAACCCGGAACGGTTTTAGACCTATTAGTTTGTGCAAGGTTAAGTTCCTCCCGTGTAAATCGATTTATATGAAATTGACTTGAAGTTACAGGTTTATTTTGAATCTTCATGGCAGGTGCTATTTTGTCAAAAAATTCTTCAATCAAGTCATTATTAAGATGAATAATACTTGTAGTATACTTCCTTTGTAGTTTTCTTGCTTTATTTCAATCATTTTTATAGGCAAATTTTTATTTAAGGGTATTCTTCTTCTTTGTGTGCCGTGTATCTTGTCAAGCGTTGGCTATCGTACTATTAACAAACTGATGAAATGTTCCTCGATCGGCAGCTAGATGAAACAATTCCTCGACCGTTCGACCTATATATATTCAGGGATTCTACAGTATTCACTGCCTTCCCTCACTCAAGCGTTTCCGTCTCTCTCTGT